TGCAAAGGAGCGGTCACACAGCATCACCCTCTCCTCCTACAGCCTTCAGCTGGGACAAGGACTGAAGGAAAAAGGTTCTGAGGAGAAGGGGAGAAGCCCTGGGGTAAGCTGTCCCCAGGGAGGGCAACCCTGAACGGCAATTTGACTTTTAAGGGCTGGCGGCTGCCTGCCAGAGGAGAAGCTACTGCTTTGGTGGTGAGAAGGCAGGACACGGCAAGAACGGCAAAGCCTGTGGCTCCAAGGGGGAGGTTTGAGACGCGGCTCCATCACAGCTCGCTCGCTTTGCTGTTCAGGATGCAAAGTAAGACAGGACCAAAAAGAGCCAGGCAAAGACTTTGAGTCAAGGAGAGGGTGGCTGCAGCAGAAAGGCAGAGGACATGGTGCTGGGCTCCTGCCCAAGGAAAGCACGAGGGTCTGGTAACAGCAGGAAAGGTGTATAAGGGTCGGGTTTGGGCGTAAGGATGTTTCAGGAGCGTAGCAAGACAACAGTGGCTCTTGGTCACATGAAGACTTGAAATGACTACCATTGTGGCTGATGAGCTCATAATTACAGAGCGGGGAAAAAATGTTTCTTTTTTGGGGTTTCCATAAAAAACACAAAATACAAGCCAGTATCTGTTCTCTAACGAACAGTGTCGCTCCTTACAGCCAATGGTTTCAAGAGGATCCTTCCAAAAGGCATATTAACCTCCTCCCGAGTGATGCATCCAATGTGATCCAACAGAGCCCTGCAGTCACTGCTCGGCTCTTCCCCCACCGGCACGGCTGGAAGCACCTCTCGGGCAAGTAAGACCCCGATCCTCTCTCTCTCTCTCCCCACCAGACACAGCCGCTCACATATCTGATTACCAACTTCCATGCCAGCTAACATTTCCAGTGTACCTGCCAGCCCCAATTAGCGTCCAGAACACAACTGGCATCCTCACAAGCATCAATCTTATCTTATTGCCTTTATTTCTTAGGAACAGCATCCATCTGCTCCCAATAGCTCACATCTGGCACACTGACTGTTACGAAAGAGCCTCAATCCTATTCGAAGGAAATTATTCCTCCAGCCAAGAGATTCATGCAGAACTGAGTTTAGTATTTGTACTTACAAATTTACTACAAGTCATACAGCTACTCAAGGCTTCAAACTTTAGAATTATAATTTCATCTAGGGCTTGTTTTTTAATCCCTAAAAAGTTGCTCTTATGTAAATCGCTACGTGATGGGAAACGTTTATGGAGAAAGCAAGGAGGAGAGGGGCAGGAACCTGAGCACAGAGGATCTACACAGCAAAATCTTTCCTCAGCACTGCCCAGGACCCCGAAGGTTTTCGCCTGCAGTGAGCAGTATATAGGAGGCAAAGGTATTCCTTGGTTTAAGCCTTCCCTTCCCACTTTCACCGCCTGGCATGGTACACCAAGCCTTCCTGGGACGACCCCAGAGCAGCAAAGGGTATCACCCGCACACTTCCCAAGGCATGAGGGCCACCGCTTCATCTGCTCAAAAAGCTGGACTGGGACCAGGAGGAAGCAGCCTGCGCCTCGTGCTGGGACACACAAGCTGAATTGCAGGACAAGTGTCGGTCACCAGCCCTTAGAGAGGAGGTGACAATCTCCTGCACGACGAACGGATGGCCCACGGTGTGGTCAAAGGAATGAAATTGGGTAATTACACAGAAAAAGAAGGTCTTGCTAACCTCGGAAGAGAAAAGCAGGACAGTGTTTGGAAAGGCTGCTACAGCGATGAGCTGTAAACCAGGACTTTCACAGAAGAGGGCCAGTCTCAGGTGTCAATGACAGCCAAAGGGAAAAGCTCTGGAAGTTCACAGTGTTCCAACAAAACCTTGAACAGCAGCACAGCCTACGGCATTACCGCGACCAGCAAGGTGGCTTTCGACATTCCCCATTCCAGTACAGGGCACGCAGCTCATCTCGCTTTTCTGCGTCCAGACGGAGGCAGAGACCGGCACTGGGCAAACTCCAGGCTTCAGCCCTGGGTCGGTTTGTGTTTTGACCATCATTCCTGCCTGGCTGGGGAGGGAAGGACACTTTGCCCTCCGGTGGCAGTGGGAGCAGGCTAGCTGGCGAGGCTGTCAGTAGTAAGCGTGCATGTGTTTTACTTGGCCGTACTCCTAAAATAATTGTTTGGCCACAATGGAAGGTGACAAGTGATTCAGCTGTGGCCCCAGAGGGAATATCAGGAGAAAATCCCCAACAACCGTGCCTGGGCTGCTCTGAACCACATCAGCCCCCACCCTGGTCCTCACCAGCTCGCTCCTTCTCCTCTCTCCCCCTTGGAACCAAATGGCTTCCTTGTCCTCCTGCCTGGGCTTAGCAGGAGGATCACTGACAGCAGAAGAGGGTGCACCAACCTTCACCTGAATGCGGCCAGAGCTGCTATTGAAAAAAACAAAACGCTGCTCGGCTTCTGGCAGGAGCATGGAAAGTGCAGCCAGAATCACTGGGAACACAGATACTAAATTAACAAATATCTCTACCCAAACATGCATGTACTGTGATTGCTCAAGGCCTTGAGTATGAATAAATTTGGATGGATTTTCACTGGATAACATGAAAGACAGATTCTTGACACAGGGATTACCTGCAACTCAAGTTTCCAATTCTTCCTCCAAGGCATCGAAAAGATCATCAGAACTGGACCCGGGAAAAATACTTTTCCCCTCTTACTATGTTTTCAGAGCAGCCGAACCATTTTAGCCAATCAGTTATTTTGTGGGGGTTTGGGGTTGGTTTTTTTTTTTTAAATAACCGGAGGCATGAATAATTTCCAGCATGGAAAATTTCTGCCTAAAGAGCTAAAATTGGCATAGAATCATCCAAGAGTCATATAATAAAGGCCTCCAGCAATGGCAACAGTAAGTGCTACCAAGCCTACCTAGAGCATTTTTTTCCACTGTGCTAAGCGGATCTGTTTCACTCCTCGCCTTTCAATCCAATTTCCACTGTACTGCACCACAAGTTTAAAATAAGGACACCAGGAAGCATGTGCGATAAGGGGGAAGGAAGGGAAAAACCACAATTTCATTCATTCTTTCAACAGAGCCAAAAAGGAGTGTTTTTTGGGGGTTTTTTTGTGTTTGTTTTTTTTTTTTTTTTTTTTTTTTTAAGAAAAAGCTGCAGGGAACAGAGAAGGGGGAAGATGTTTGCTTTAAACTTTCCCATCTGCACCATGATATATCTCTAAAGCACCTCTGCCTCTAAAGGTGCTCCAGGGTGTTTTGCAGAGCCAGTTTGAGTCTCTGGCTCCAGACAGCCTCCAGTGATGACGCTTTCCATCTAGGAACGTGCATAGCTCCAGCCAAGATGGAAGGGGAGGAAGAGAGGAAGGACGGCCACTATTTCACTACATGTCCTTCCCCATAAGGTGCAAGGCAGCCCAGGGAAACAGCACAGCAGCAGACACTGGTTTATCACATAGAAACCCCAAAAGACTGTGCCCTCCTTGCACCAAATGATGGCGTGAGCTTGGCCACCACCATGGAGCACCAGTGAAGACGAGATGCTACGGAGAAGGAAGTGCTGAGCTCCATTTCCTTCCAGCCCTGGCTGCTGCCCAACAGCTGTTCTCTGTTTATTTACTTTAATATTTCCTTGGTTACACAACCAGCTGCACACAGCTTAACCTGTGCTGGCACCAGTGGCCGCCCATGCCACCTTACCTTACCTTGCCCGGCAGGATGCTGCAGGACAGCAGCGTGGGCCAGGGTGAGGACATCCAGGGTTTCACCAAAGCCAGGTTCTCGCTGGCTGGCCAGGGGCTTAACTCAACGTGGTCACCCTCGTGGCCACCTCCATGGCTCTGCAGAAGGTGCCTCGTCGGGCAAGGGATGGGGCACCACCGATGCGAGCAGCCGTCTCGAACAATCCCAGGCTTCACAGGCTGACCTGAAGCCAGCTGAACCTGGGAAAGCCATCTGGGTTCCCACTGGGTTTGCTTCGCTAGGCAGGCCCAGATGCACTGTAATTTTAGCAGTGTATTTGTGTCTGGATGCAGCAATTTCAGGCAAGGCATCCTCGTTCCCGGCCAAGCACAGCACCCTTTCCAATAAAGCACATAGCGACGCTCACCTTCACGTGAGCGGGTGGCTGGAGGCAGAGGATGCCCATCTCCTCTCCCAGTCCCCTGCGCAGGCCAGGACGGACATGCCAGTGACTTTTCTGGCAGCTGCTGCTGGTCCATAGATCACTTCATGCATTTTCCTTTCTCATCTGCACAGAGCCTGTTCCAGCAGCTCCGTTTGTGTTTTGGCTCATAAAGCTCAGCCAGACCCCTTGGCTCATCTCCACCAAGGAGGGGGTGGAAAACACCCTTTGCCTGCTCGCCCAGAACACCAGCGCCGGTTTTCTTCAACCCAGCCTGTCCCAATCAACTTTCCAGCCTCCTCCCTCTCTCCCGGCTCCATTATTTTTCCCCAGCTGCCCCCTGCACCAGGAGGTGATGGTTAAAGCAGCTGCTGACAGCTGCCCTCCAGCCTGGCACCGCTCCGCACCGTACCGGGCGCTTCCCCGGTGCCTGCTCCCCGGAACACCAGTCAGTGGGACACGGACCCACGGAAAGGGCACTTTCCAGCAGCAGTCCTGTTTTGCTGGGATAGCAGCTGGGAAAGGCATGGTATCAGCTCCGCAGGAATGGAATTTGGGCCAAACTTTAACAAAATCCCCGCCTAACAAACTAACAAAACACCCCAACAAAACCCCCACCACTTGCACAGGTGTCTGTTGGAGGAACTCACACACACCTATGCACTCCTGTGTGCATCTGGTCCCGGGGGTGACAGCAAAGCTCTAACCCCGAGTTCCGCTCGTGAAGTTGCCCTGTTCTTCCTTTTTTTCAGGGATATCCAAAATTGCATTTAAAGTTTCCTCAGCTCAAAACATTTTCTGGTAGATGACAGAAGGCACGCTTAGCGTAAGGCAGAAACCACACTTCTCAGCTGACCAAAGCTTTCAACCCTCCGATGTCAAAACCCCAAGAACTGGTGAAATGCTTACCTGTAGGTCAAAGAACTTGCTGTACCGTCGGTATATGACTTCTGTGGAGCCATTGGACCAGGTGACTTTGATAATGTACACCTGCAGGGAACAGAGGAAGAAGTCAGAGAGGAGCAACCCAACAACCTGCACCACAACCCAAATGCTGCTAAAGCAGCGCCCATGGCTGGGCACCAACCAGGGGAGTTCACGAGAGCTCTTGAATTCATTTCAGCAATACTAGAAAATACGTGAGATTGAATTATTAAGCTCCACTGCTGCAACATAACTGTCCACTAAATGCTTATTGATAGTTGTGAACCAAGACAGCTTTCTATCCCTACATATGGGCATACATCAAGTGTGAAAGGGCACTTCTATTTAAAAACACAGTTAAAGTCTCTCCAGACACATTAGGAGTTAATAACCATGCCTTGGCCACGCCACTCATGGCTGCAGCATCAAGTTTGATGTAGAGGTCCCAAAACTGCAGCCCACAGTGAGCTGCACCACATAGCACCACCAGCCTGGTCCCGGGGTTGGGTTTTGCAAGAACTTGAACCCACAAGGTTCAAAACTCCGTCTGCTCTTCTGTAAGTAACTATGAGGTTTTGTTTACTTAAACTTGCTGGGGTGCAAATTACCTTCCTGTTCCTTAAAATGCCACACAATCAATCCAAGTAATTGCAGGTTATTCACAGACCATATGACCAGGGCTTTTAGTGGCGATGAATGCAAAAAAAAACAACCCAACCCAGTTTTTTTATTCTCCTATGGAAGACAACAAGCAAATAACAAAATTGGGCAATTACTTATCTAATGTCCTCGCGCCTCGCAGAAACCAAAGATGACCCTTGATGAGATGCCAGCCTAACGCTCAAGTGATGCAAATCTCAGCCTTCACTAACTGAGAACAGATTGGCCAAGAAAAATGAGGGCACGTTCATTTTTCTTCTGACTCTCATGTCCTGCATATTTCCACCACAAATTCAAGTATCGATTCACTGAAGCAGGAACAAACATTCAGAAGCTCAGGTGAACGGACCTGCTAGAACTCCAGTTAACATAATGAAGCATGAAGGCTCTTAGGATGCTGATGTTTTGATACGTAAAACAGAATCCCTTAAGAGTTTCACAAGGTTTCCCACAGAGATGCACAATTTTTCCAGATACTGAAATGTGACCAACATCCCAGCCCAGTATCGAAACTCAAACGCCAGGAGACTCAAACGGGTAGCACAATGCTAAATTATTTGAGCTCATCAAACTTACTTGAATGCTGTACTAAAAGTCTAATCGAAAGGTCACTTTGCTGCTCGGAGGGCTGATGCAGCATGACCTACCAAGGCGAAGAGACTCCTGAAGAACCACAAAGACGTCTCAGTGGAATCACTTCCAAATTAAGATGGAAAAAGAGGCAGCAGGATGAAGCAAGTTCTTACTGCTAAAATAAAGAGCTTCCGTACTTTCAACCCAGCAATTCAACGACCACTTTTCTCAAACCAGCTGATCAGCCCAAACACAGCTGCGACTGCTTTGCTGACTTGCCGTGAGCTGGCTGGGTGTCACAGGCACCACCACCCTCTCCCAGACAAAATCCGAATTGCTTGGCATCGCCTCACAGGCCTTATTCAGCAAACCACAATCCTCTCCTTTCATTCACAAATTCTCTTTTTGAGCTGTAGGACCTGTGCTTTCTGCATATTAATGCAAGGAAGACAGAGGGCTCCTGCAAGACAGCATCTGTAGCAGCTGTGGAGACCTGGATGGACCATGATTTGCCACAAGAGGGGCCCAGATGCTGTGCTGACCACCAAAGATGGTTTGACAAGCACTCTGCATTAGGTCACGCACAATACCTATTAGAGCACATGCTCCTAGATCTCAACATGTCATGGACAACTTGGCTGACCATACTTTGCAATGAAAACAGGCTGTCGCATGACATGGCCTCAGGAATCTCTGACAGCATCCGTACAGTCACCACCACACCATCAGCAAACTAAGCGTTAACTTGATGCTAAGAAAGCATCCAAGCTGCCTTCACCCTCACCCCAGGACTTGCCGGCAGGCCAGCATGAGCTCATTTTGGTTGGAAGCTCAGCTGATATCCCAGCTTTCTTACCAGTCTACAGCACTTTACGGGGTTATATCACTGCTGGCTGCCTGCCTGGAGAAAGCCTTCCACTGGGGCAGGAGAAAGAGCCAACTTTTCTTCACTGTTTATTCCTATCCTGCCTTTATTTGGAGTCAACAGCTTATTAGACTGGGATTTTAATCAGGATGTGGATTTGCTCAAGCCAAAATGAATTCAAAGCTCTTAAGGGTAATAAAGCCATGAGATTTGAGGGCACACCACGCTTTATTATACCCTTTGCAATTGAGGGAAGGAGCATTTCTCCCAACCGACGAGCTCAGTCCTATTTTGCTGAAATGCAGATCTCACAGGAGTCTGGATAACGGTTTCTTGTACATCCCATTTGAACAGCAGAAAGGTCTCCGGGGGTATCTCCTCACCTACTTGTAGAAAGCGGGAAAGACAGGGAAGCCCACAGCTCCTCAGTATCTCTAAAAACACTGTCTCAGTAAAGCTGGCTTCCTTTCTCCTTGTGAATATCCCTCGTCCTTCACTGATGGCTCCATCCCACCGAGGTATTCTGTTGGCCAAACCATCACAGATCTTGGTCTCTGCCAATACTTAATCCAGTCCCTGCTGTCCTAGAGACAGAAAGGACACCAGAAAGCATAACGTAGGTGCTCTCTTCAACTGACAACAGAAGTGCAGAATTTGAAAGGGAAGAACGGTGCAGTCGGCCACCCAGCGATAGTTCTCACAGGGACCAGAGACAATGATGCACCAAGCTACCAGAAGCACCCACACATCCCTTTCTCAGGTGCTTTCGGAAGACACTTTCAATTGTGAAGACAGATTTGAAAACATTGCACTTGGTCTGAAGCTTCCCCTCCTGGCCTGGCACTGCACCATGACCTGTCAGGAGCACCCACCATGAAGCAGCAGCCCGAACAAACCCAATTTTGTCCCGGTAGGAGCCACCCCATCACCCGCTCTCACAACCCCAGCTCCTGCAGAGGCTGCTCCGAGGACAGCCTTTTTCCCAGCCCAGCTGTGTGGGTGAGGGCATGTGGAAACAGTTATTTCATGGGTCTTCTCCAGCTCCGATTTCTACAGTCCTTCAAAGAAATAACACAGAGAAACCACCAGCGGACCCTTTCCATGGAAAGAGCGAGGGGATCTCCCGGGGCTGCAGCTGGTGCTGCCTCGGCGACGTGCACCCACGGGGAGCACCCCTGGGAACGGGGGGGCCACCGACGCTCAGATCCCGCTCCGTCGTTTCCTCGAGGGGTGGGGAGAGCCGAGCAGACGGCAGGGAGGCAGCGGGCGGCCAGATCCAGGAGGGGGGCTCCGCAACCCCATCACATGGGCTGGGCCGGTGGCCAAAACCAACAGGCAGAGCTATCTAAATATTTACAGCAGTGGGGTCTGCACCGTGAAGGGAACTAGCTGACTTGGTGAAACCCGGGAACCGGTGGCTTCCCTCCCTCCGGAAAGGACGCCTTACCCTGCCCCTCTCCCAGCCCGAGAGCCTCCATCCCCTGCCCCGCTCCAGCCTACGTTGGCTCCAGCCTACGTTGCTGCACACGTGTTGGCTCAAACCCCACAGCTAGGTCTGATGCCTGAAGGCAACGGGGCAGGCAGAGCTTCGGCACAGGCAGAAATCACCAGGGCTCAACCTCCCCTAGCTTCATTTCAGCCGCAGGTGAGGGGAGCACAGCTGAAATCCACGGCCGTGCTTCTGAAATCCTTCAGACACAGCTCACGGCATTTGTCCCACTAGAGCAACATGCAGAGGAGGGGTACAGAGCTTTCAGGGTCACTCAAATACACTCAGAATCCTGCTTTTGGGATCAAGAAAGCCCCACGCACGCACCCTCAGTCCCCCATCACTCCTCTCCGTGCCCTCGCGCCGGGGAACCACAGGCGCACGCTGCATCAAGCTGAGTTACGGAGCAGGAGGAGTTCCCGGCTGGACAACCTCATCCGAGCTGCAGTGAAGACCAAAGGAAGGCAACAAGACCTGCCCTGCACTCCCGGGGGGCTTTTCATAGGGGCTGCAGAGGCCCTGAGAGAGAGTTTTGGAGGTGCAGGTGGATGCTGTTTAGTGCCGGGGGAGAGGTGCACTAATGCCAAATGCTCCCCGTGAGCCCATCCCTTGGAGGGCAGAAGTGGATCAGGTCCTTCGCAGAAAATAGAAACCTGCAGATGCAAAAGGCTGAACTCCCACAGACTCCGTGAGGATTTGGCTCCCAAATTCCCCGAGCTTCTCAAACTCCATACGTTACAAGTAATTGGCCACATACCAACTACTTAAAACTACCGATTGAGAAGTTTACTGTCAGGACCTCCATCAACCAGGATTTTCCTTGGTCACATTAGGGACCGAGTGCCCTAAACAGAAATATAAAGATGGCAAAAAAGGCCGCAGGGACCCTGGCTGGGCACTGCAAGCTCGGTGTCACCCCGCTGTAACCCCGTGTCTGTCACCGCTCTCCCCTCCCCAGCGGCTCTGGAGAAGCAGCTCCGAGGGAGAAGGGGCCCGGTGGGAAGTGGGACTGAAAACCTTCGTAAGGGAACTGTCAAAAACCGACAGGTTGCTAAAAGAAATGCAAATGGCACCTGGCCAACCGTAACAGAGCTGTCAACGAGAGCTGCCACTCAACTCGCATGGCAGCGAGGGCTCTGCGGCCCCGGGGGAAACACGCAGGCAATCCACAGCGGGTGGATGCCCAAGGGAGATCCAGGACATCCCTTCCGGGCAGGACGTCACCCCAGGCATCACCAGAAGAGCTGGGGGGGCTGAAGGAGCCGGCTCAGACCCACATCCACAGCGGTTGGAGTCACAGGGACTAGAGCACGAGCACAGAGGGGACGAGAAGCCAGCGCAAATTATCTCTATCTGAAAGGGCAGCCAGAGACTTGGGGTTTTTTTTCCTCCTCCTCTTGAAGAAATGAAACAGCAAGCATAAGCCCTGGAAGCTGTCAGACCACAGAAGTATTTTTCCAGGGAGTGATAAAAAGCCTCAGTGCTGCAGATAGCAATGGCTCCTGGTGACTTCCACTGCTCAAAGGGACCGAGGATGCTGGAGCCCTCAGTCTGGCACCTTCCCCAAAAGGCATGTCCCATACAGCAATGTGGCTAGAGAGAAGAGATGATTCAAGCGGCTGACTTGAGGCAATGGAATTAAGAAGATACCAAAAAAACCCAAAAAAACATTAACAGAAACAGCTTCCCATTCTTGAAACATGAGGCCGTGTGACCTCCTACAAAAATCACTTCTGGACGCCTTGCATAAACACACTACGGACATGCACAAAACACAACCTGGGGAGCAGCCTGCACTGCTTAAATTTGAATAGAAAAAAGGCAAACTGAAGTTGCAGGATAACCTAGACCCACAGCTTCAGCCTCTCTCTCCCCACAGGAGGAGTTTTCCCAAGTTTTCCAAGGAGACTTGCACAGTGTCCCAGCCGTGGGGGCACACATAAAGCCAAAAGTAGGACTTTGGGGAGATGCCTTGGCCTGTAAGCTCTCTGCCTGGCACCCAGCACACAAGGCAGCAAGTCCACCCCGAGTTCAGCACTGTCCAGCCACCCCAGCTGGGGCTCCGGAGCAGCACACCCACGCTGACACAACCAACAACCCACCAGCAGCCCTCCGGGACGTGGCACAGTCCTCCCTGGGTGGCTTTGCAGCAATCCCAGAGCTTCCCCAGCCCCGAAGCATCCCCGTGTCCGGAGTTCCCGCACACCCAGACCCTCCCGTTTCCACGTCAGCAGCACCAGAAGCACCTCAACGACGGCACGGCAGGAAGCAACGCCACGGTCACTTGGGAAGACACCTCCATGGGGCTGCAGGGACACCCAGCGCTGCCCACCCGCCACTGACGGGCATCAGCGTAGGTCCTCAGCCACTCAGCAGAGCTCCTACAGCAAAGCCAGACATAACAGCCTCCAGCAGAGGCAGAGCTGTCTGCAGAGCTGTTTCCAATGGGCTTGAGCCTGTGTGGTCTCGGGTCCGGGGAGACTATGTACAATAAACCTCTCTGTGGAAAACTCCGCATATTTAAAGCATCTTTCACCAGTAGAAGGGAAAAAGCATCAGTCTCTCTATTCCACCCGCACTCCCCCACACCCCGACACGGGGGGAAGCGATGGGAGAGCCCCGCAACCTGGCTTCGGCCGCTACTGTGAGAACGGAGCACCGAGAAATTCAAAGGGGCAGAGAAACCAAAGCAGCTGAGGGATGGAGCCAAACCAGAGCGGGGTTTAATATAGAAAAGGGAGTGGGAAATTGTAAGAGGAAAAGAAAAAAAAGGAGGGAGGTGGCTGGAAACAAAGAAAGTTCTTGGCGGCGAGCTGCTGTGCTTGGCCCCGCTCCATCAGCCTTCGCCGCTGCGGGCGTGCGGGGCTGGGAAAGGGACCGCGGGGCTCTTGTGCCGTGGGACGTTGAAGCTCAGAGGGGGAGAGGGACAGCCAGCCCCTTGCTCAGTCCCCCGGACACCTCGTCACCCCCTCGTTCCTGCTCTGTGGACAG